CGTGGCAGAGCCGTCACCGTCCCACCCCCCCCCCAGCATCGCTCAAGGCGGAGGTGGGACCGCGCAGATGGTGGGGGTGATGCTGTGGGATTTTGGGGAGCCGGCCGAGCTCACCTTGATGAAAAATGGGTCTGGCTGGCTCTGCAGCTCTTCGTCCCTGCACACGGTCACGGATCCTCCCTTGGTGATGCTGCCACCCACAAAGACCTGCAAGAGACCAAAGGTCTGGGTGACCGAGACAGCGAGGATGGGGCTGATCCCAGCCGTCCCCAAGGGATAGAGGAAAAGCGTCGGGATGTGACCGGGCGCCTGCTGCTGCCTCACCTGCCCCACCAGCCTGGGCTCGCGGGTGTCGGAGATGTCTTACTGGCGAACGTCTCCGTGCAGCCAGTTGCTGAAGTAGAGGAACCTGTCGTCCAGCGAGATGAGGATGTCGGTGATGAAGCCTTGGGGAGGGTACGACAGAGCTGCACAAACAGGCGGCAGCACCCGGGGAAGCCGGGGAGCACCTCGGCACCCAGCCTGGGGGTGCACTGACCTGGCATGTCCGGGAGGAGCCATCCCTCCACCTTCTTGCTGGGGACTTGGATCACCTTCTCGGCCGCCCAGTCTCCTTGCTGCAGGAGGTGCGGGACAGAGCACAGCCCCGGGGGGCTCAGCATGCATGGCAGAGGCAGGATAAGACCCGATGCTGGGGCAGATGCTGCGTGCGCGCGTCCACCACCTCTAGTCTCGAGGGCTGTAGCTCAGCTACTTTGCCAGCCATCTCTGGCTTTGCAGAGATGTCTAATTTTCCAGCTAGATTAGCTGGTTGGGTGGAAGATGTTCTCTCTCCTCACCCAGTTCGTCATTACGCACAACAACAGACGCTGAGAAGAATATTGCTTGGGCTGTTGTAAATCCACAACAAAGGTAAAAATAAATCTCCTTTAAATTAAATCATTTCAGCCTAAACTGCTGCCAGTCAGAACAAGTCCTCTGGTGAGACTACCCCCAGCCAGCTCATGTTCTGGGTGCAGAGAGGCGGCTGCACAGCACGGGGAGGCGGGTGTGTGCATCGGCAGGGACCGGAGTCGGGCTGGGAGGACGGCGGGGGATACGGGAAGCGGGATGCTGCGCAGAGTCGTGGGGCTCGGTCAACCAAGGGGCAGCACCCCTTTTCCACTAACCCTGGGGGAGCACGTACCTCGGTCTTGTAGAAGCGGTGGATGGCGCTGCTGATGGTGCAGCCCACGTAGCCCTCGGCAGCAGCGGGGTTGTGGAGGAAACGGATCTCCAGGGGGGCCGCGTCCTCGCCCACGTCGATAGCCTGAACGTAGGTGTGAGTGGTCCAGTCCCACACGTTGATGCAGCGTCCGTAGCGCCCTGGGAGGGAGAGTTAGAGGGGATGCTGCGAGGCGCAGGGTCTCAGGGAGATGTGCTACGGGTTCGGGTGAGTCCTCAGCCCCTTTAGCTCCCCGCAGGGACAACCCCATGGTCTCTGCACCAGCACACGCCAGTTGCTTTGGACCTTGGCAAAAGCCATGGGAAGGTGCCCAGCATCCAACAGGGACCATCTCGCTAGGACGGGGCTGGGAAGGGCAGTGTAGCCTTTTTGGGGGAGCTGGGCTGAGATGGGGCTTCATCCTTCATCCCTACAGCCAAAATCCAACCCCGTGTACAGCTCAACAGCAGAATTTATGGACTGTCTTGGGTTGAACTTCTGGCGCTTGCAACTAAAGTGTCTTCACAGTAAATGGGCTGGGCTTGTCTTTTTTAAATCCACGGGATCTCTAGGAATTGGTGTGAAATTCATTTTGCAAGCAAACTGTCTTGGACAATTTTATCTACGTCCATTAGACGCCAGCTCTCACTAGCAACAGAAGAGGGTTGAAATTTGGCCTTCTTGCAGTCCTGCTCAGCATCTCTCTCCCCGAGTATTTAAACAACAGTGTTCTCACCTTTCTTCAGATCATTTGGGTCAAACCCATATCCCAGGCATTTTGGGATTCCCCATTCAGTGCTGATCAGGACGTTATGGCGTGGCTGGTACCAGAAGTCATAACCCATTGGAGGGATCTTGTCCCCTTTCTCCCAGTTCCCCTTGATCTCGAAGGTCTCTCCGTCCAGCAGAATAAAGCCACCTGATGCAGAAACAAAGCCACATCGGTAGTGAGGAAA